AGTTTGAGTTTGTTCTGTTGAAAAGGAAACCAACAGGACCACCACCATTCGCCCCCGAAAGAATTAATATAAGAGTAAAACAACCGCCCATTTGCATGTTCACTTCCGGGAAGCCAACTTCAACCACTCAGCTTGGAGGTTGCCTTTTGCGAAACAAGGCCTTTGGGGTTTCCCCTTTCTGTGGGTGCCCTCTTGATTGGAAAGCACATTTGAAACCTCTTGCTTTTTGCCCGGTTCATTGAAACTTGCTCTTTGTGAATTGGGCCGAACAAGCAAATCCGTGGAGCTTGCCGTGGCTGTCCGACTTGGGCGATCCCTTCGCAGGTCTTTGACTTTAGTCAGGGCGAAGGTAGCAGTGGAAGGCGGGAGGGACGAATGCTGACGGAACCACTCCGACTGCGACCCCCACATCTTTGCGGCGGTGGATGAGTTGGTAACTAATGTTGACCCCGGATCAATAAACCCCTGTTTATTAATAGGGGGGTGTGCCCGGTTCTAGTGGGGATTTATCACTTTTGGAGGGGAACACCCCCATATTAAGAAACAGGGGTTTATTAATCCGGGGTCAACATTACTTGGCAAGTTGTTTGTAACCATGGTTTCAACTCAAGAGATGCTCAGTGAGACGTCTCCGAAATGATGGAGGGCCAAGGTCTCTGCATGCAGCAAAGGAGACAATGAGTTTCTTAAGCTCGTGGTCAGTGGGTTCTTTTACGCAAGAAGCCCGTTTGTTGCTGGTTCAAAGGATGTTCAAAGGTTTGGTACAACATTTGAGAGATCTGTTCAATGATGATCTAAAGATTTATCAATTCCTGGATTGAACGTTGACCAAGTCTGGGCTCCTTATAGTTGGACCTAGGTTTTTTGGAGAACACACCACAAGTCACTTTAGTCTCAGTCGGGGTAACCAGGCTCCAAAAGGACCAGTGTGCACCCCTCACCTTTGAGCTGGGTTGGGACCGGTCCATTTGGACCGGACATCACTTTCATGTCAATTTCTCAGACATCCTCCAGAGATGTCCTATGTGGTATTTCAAACCTTCTGAGGGCTTCCAAATCCCAGGTGGAACCTGCGGATCTTTTAGTTAAAGGGAGGTTCCTTTGGTGGCCGCAGGCAAATGGATCCACTGGGGGCCTTAAGGGACTCGGTTTCTGGAGGTAGACATCGCCGGACATCGCTAGGTTTCTGCCCTTCACGGACACGATCCGGCTGTCCGAAAAGTACGGCCTGCCGTTGGTTGGTTGGGCTCGTTGCTCAGATGCTTAGGGCAACCTGGAAGACAAAAGGCAGCAAGCCTCAAGGCGTGCATTTGCTTAGCATGTTTGATTCTTGATCTGTGGCTTTTAAAGGGATCTATCACTGTGTGTGTTTGTGCTCTTTTTGCGGGACTTGAGCAAATGGAAGGCCAAAGGCCAGCCTTTAGGAGGCTTCAAGGTGGGATTTCATTTGAGGTGTGAGTCCCCGTCAAAACGCAGCCTTTTGCATAGGGGTTGGCACCCTTCGATCTGCAACCAACTTTGAACAAACAGGGTAATCCTCCCCCCCCCCCCCCCGCCCAAAAAAAGAAGGCACCCGGAATGATTGGTTGTGCTTTTGATTATTTTTGAAGCCAAACTGAAACAGAGCATGATGTCACATTTAGGTTTGCTAGACTTGGACCAGACTCAAATATATTAATATTAGTTTGGTTGGCAATTGTTGAGGTGCGCACAACCCCAACACAGCCACTTGCCCGCAATCCGTCAGGAAAAGCGGGAGAAGCTCAGTGCTGAGGACGGGATCCTTGGATTTGTTCTCTTGATTCCTATGTTTCCCTGCTAAGTGTGGTGTTAAACATCAAATGCGGGAAACCCTTTTTGAGGTTCCTTCGAAGGTACGCGAGATGCCCCTCCCCCCAAACCTTCCCCCACGGCCTTCAGAAAAGATTCTGCTGGGGTTTGAGCGACCTTGAAAATGAGGCTTCATGGCCCCGCTTGTTGCGGTGTCCAAACATAGATAGTGGTTAAAGGGACAGCAGCAGGCACCCAACAGTTTTGGGAGGCCCATGTTCTTGAGGGTTTAACATGAAAGCCGCAACACGGGCACCCGGCTTTAGCGACCTGCGCTTTGTGGAGACAACATATTGTTTTGGTGACCTTAAAACACTTAGAATACATGCTGTTTATCGATTTGGAGACACCCTTCTGCACCAGGTGAAGTGGTTCGATGTACGTATTGTATCGTCGGGGAATCCTATGGATGGGATCGGATCGGATCGGATCGGATTGGATGCGATGGATGGATGGATGGATGGGTCGACCGGGGTGGTCGGCCTTATTGAGTTACCGCATGGTCCCTCCCGCCATCGCAGTCGCCCCGCCGCAAGTGTCATTGGGGCAACTCCGGGAGCTCAATATGCCGCTGCCCTTCATCTTAGGGAAAGTACTAGTATTTGCGCCTTGGTCAGGCCCCCCACCCGAACTCACCATGGCATAAAAGCTTCATGACAGGCTGGCATAAGGGCAAGACAGCGTGACGTCCTAGGGTGGCAGCACTGACCACATAGGCTCTTTCTTTGCTCCCAGCAGTACTAGGCAAGTATCATAGTCTTGACCCAAGAGAAAGGACAGTGTCCCATTCACCCAGTGATGATAGATAGCTGGCAGGACGCAGCGTCCACCAACCTACGAATCAACCAAACACGATGTAGGCTGATACGGCCGCTTTGCCACTGTGCCTGTTGGGAGCCCTATGAAATGCTTCCCAGCGTCTCCAGTTACCTCCTACAATAGGTATTTCCTCTCCTCCATCAGAACTCGAGGAGGTCTGGGCAGAGCTGGCGCATGCCGCTTCCAGGCAATACTCCACAGCTGCCGCTGCGCTGGAAGGTCTTTGGCTCAGAGTCTCCAACTCTTCAGCTGGCCACTACTTCAGCCAGGGTTGATTAATCTAATGGTTCCATTCTCCTAAGATATGGGCACTCTATGCTGCCGTCCTTCTTCCTTGTCGATTTGGAGCCTGATGGTGCTCTTTGTGGGGTAAACTGATATTCATGAATGTCAGCGGACGGAAATCCCAACCTTATAAATGACAAGATTAATGCCAGTAGTCTACAGTTCGTTTAGGGAGGACGTTGGTGGCCCACACAAACAATACTCAGCGGCTCTCTCCCACTAACATAGCACCTGTAGGGTACCTGGAAGATCAATTTGCTCCTGAAGGGACGCTTTGTGAGGTGCCATGTTACCAATGTTCGTTGGAGGGAGGGTATCTTTTTTCGGGCGAGCCAACCGATGGGTCGCCCGCCCGAACCGAGGCTTCGTGGTCCGCGAGGCCGGCGGCGGGCGCATCGCCAAGGCCCGCGTGGAGCAGATCACCGCGGGCGCGGGGCTGGCGGCGCCGGCTGCGCCGGCGCCGGCGATGGCCACGGCAACGTATGCGGAGACTCTTAGCAGGCCGGGGTGGGTGGGTGGGTGGGTGGCTGGGCTGGCTGGGCTGCTGGGCTGGCTGGGCTGGCTGGCTGGGCGGGGGGTGGCTGGGTGGCTGGGCGGGCTGGGTGGCGTGGCTGGGTGGCTGGGTGGCTTGGATAGGGGAAAGCCTTTTTTTGGTGGTATACCGTTTGGCAATGGTGGACAATGACGAATTATGCCCACTTACCACCTACTCGTTTACACGGCTCCATGCGGGGAATTGTCCATTTTGCGAATTGCTATGCACCGAGGCAGTACCTTTCTGAGATTGGCGTATTTTAGGCGCAGAAGAAGCTGACCCAGACAGCTGGCCACCCTACAGATGCCATGGATAGAGACGGCCATCATACCCTGCACTTGTCTAAGATGTGCTTTGTCACAGGGCGCAACAGCAATGGTTGCAGAGTTAATGCGACTAATCCAGACAATTGCAGGAGCTTGACATGTGCTTGGGGAGGATGGCGTTGCCTATTCCCGGCGTGGAGGGGCACGTTGTACAGCCCTGTGAGTCTGTGTGCATCGGCGGCACTCATGATTGACCCATGCTTGACCAATATGTCCATCACAAGCCTCTAAGTGCAGGCTTCTGAAGAGTGCGGCTGACTGCTCACACCGGCCCAGGCACACGTGGAAAAGGACAACCCAATGACAGGGTTGCTGCGATAAAGAATCACCCAAACCGAGGTCAGAGGGTTGAACTGGTATTTGTTGGTCTCCCAAAAGGGACACATTGTCCATCCTTGAACCAGGGTCTTTGGAGCAACGCCACGTCCTCAGACATCAAGAGCCATATTTTAGCCACGATCGCGAGTGCTCAAAACATGGGGTATGTAGCAACATAGTGAAAACAACCGCAATGGTGGTTTCATGTTGAAGCTTCCAACTAAAGCAGGGTGAAACAAAAACAACGTATGTGCGTGGGTGTATCTTGAAACTCACTCCCTGACTTCCTGCACCTGCAGCTTTTTGGAAGACCAGAGTGGTATATCAAGAGCTTGGCACTTGTGTTGGGCCAATCCACTGAGAAAGTGAGGACATAGGGAAGCCACTTGGACTATCCCAAAAAGAAATGGACATGTATCCCCGGCCTTGAGCATAAAAAAACGCCGGCCGTTTGGCAAGTGAAACATAGAATTGGAGCTAAGGGATTGCCATTGGTCCGGATATCAAGATTGGAATGCTTTCCACCCCAGCCACTACCTCCAAGAGGAGATGAGGGTAAACCACATACCACCCTCAATATAGCCAAGATAATGCCATCCACATACCACCACTGTACAAAGTATGTGGCCAATATGTAGAGGGAATATACCCACTTTCCCTTGGGTTTAGGGGTAGTGGACATCCTCTTAGAGCAAGGGGTTTTGGGGAATCCCTTTGAATAGTAGTCCGTTTGAATATCAGGTGTTTATCTGCAGGCGCGGTGGATTCAAGCGCGCGCTCAACATTGGAGGAGCTAACCCACATTTCCTGGGTGACAGCGCTACATAGTTGCTACTGAACCCCCAAGAAATACTACTGGCTCAAACCTATTGCTTGTTTTTTTTTTTCTGCTGGAAGAAGCGAGACCTTACTTGCTTCCTGCACTCATGGGCAGTGGCGCCAGTGCTCCCGAGCCCCCAGTTCCACGGATCCGGAGGCGCCAATCGGCGTGGCCGAAGTTGCCGGATGACACAAGGTGGAGTTTAGAAAATACACACTCAGCCGGTTTGTCTGTTTTTGAGGGCGCCCTTTGGGGGTCTTGAGGGTAAAGCACACCCAAAATGTGGCCAAAAGGAGTCGGATTTCTTGAGCCACGTCCAAATCTGTGCCATGTCCCAAAACTCCTTCATTTGGAGATGCTAGGGACGGTCATGAACCTTTGAACCAGAAATTGAAACACAACGATTGTAGGATTTTGCATTTGGGGTACCATCACTATGCCCCTTTGAGCAGGCCATGGAAAAGCACAGCTCCTGAACCCTATGATATATAAAAAATATATATATATATTGAATCGTGTTGGGTCTTAACTAATCTTGCACACACACGAGGCATGGATTTGGGTTGACCCTGCAAGACATGGTTCGTTTCGAAGACTTCGGAATGAGCTTGACATCTTCCCCCCACGGAACCTGGCGGTTCACCTTGAGGGTTCTGCTGCATCCTTTCCTGCTTGTGAAGGGATTCGGGTTCCTTCCGCATGGATCCGATAGGTCAGCAAGTGTTGTAGTGTTAGCGTTTCCAGAAGTCGTTTGCAATTAAGCCTAGGTAATGATGACCCAGGATGAGCCAACCCTAGTTGATGAATGGCGGGGTGCCCCATGTTGAAGGGGAACCAAATCACTTTTTTTCGGGAACACCTTCATGCGAGGCCAAAATTAGTTGAAGATTGGGATTTGGTGTCCCTGCCACTAAACAATCGGTGCTGCTCTTGATTTCTTCAGCGTGGCCCTTTGACGGTAGCGCCCCTTGACTTCAGAACCAATTGACTTCAGATGAGGCATCTTATTTGCCCATGATTCACAATTCGCCAATGCAGTTGTTTATTGCTTTTTGAGGCTTTTATGCCATGTGCATGTTGGTGGAAGACCCCCCCCGAGCAGGTGTTGATTATGGCCAGACCCCCCAGACCAGGTGGTGATTATGGCCCTATGGCTCACCTTGGCCCTGAGTTTTGCCAGGTCCATATCAGAGGCACAGGCCAAGATCCCGTCAGCCTGGCCAGTTTGAAGGCTGAGGGGTTCGAGCTTCTTTGCTCGCGATTGGGGAATGGGTTTGTGACGGTTTGCGTCCAGGAGGTGTGGCTATGATTGTTTTAGTGGGAAGCCCCTTCCAGTTGCTCGATGAACAGAAATCACCGTGTTCTCAAACAGGCAACCCTGTTTACGCTTCCTGTTGCCTTTGCGAGGCAACCCGTGAGTCAGAAACGTGATTGGTGCTTCCTCGCATTGCGAGGGCAGACTACGACGGGGACACGCTGCTTTCAGCAGATGTGGGTGGAACAGGATCTCGCAGAAGCCTCAGAATGCTGAAGTGCTAGGGACTATCCTCCCTCCAATCATGGAAGCTGACGATGGGAGGGGTTTGCAAGACTACTTGTTCGGTTGATTTGTGCACCAAACCATGGTTGGTGGGAGAGTCCCTTTACAGAGTAATTCGTGGACTTCCGTATGATTGTAGCCACTTGCTAAGTGCCCCTCCCAGTATGCACGGTCATTTTCTACCCCACTGGCCATATTTGCTGGGGTAGACTTAGGATACATTTTACATGTTACCAGTGACTCAAAGGGAGGCAAACAATAGAATATGCATTCTATAGCTGGGCCTAAGTCTAATCATGTTTGCAAGTCCCCCAACTGAGTTAGAACCATGGTTGCTCGCCACGACAAACCAAGCTTCAGGACTGCACCTCTTCCTTCCCCCGCCGACGATGAACCCCACCACCGCGGATTTCTTCGTGCGCGGACCAAATACCAAGGAGCACATCTCCCCATGAGAGAGCAACGGTAGCTGTTTACTGTCATCTAGTGTAATGAAGGGGATGATGGCCCAAATGCCTCGAGGAGTTTGGGTTACTAGCAAAATCCAGTGTCATTGGGGCACCACTGTGAATATTGATTCGGCTCCAAAAGCCTTTTGGTGGGGTTTGGTGGGCATGGACCCCGTAATGCAGAGTTCCAACATGCCAATTGTTTCCTCGGGAGCCAAGACACACCAAGACCACGGCCCACGAGGAGCTCTGATCGCAACACATGTGGAACCCAGTAAGCTGTGCTTCAGTTTCCTGTTATTTTCTGGTTAAACCCAACTAGAAGGGGTATCCACCAACGTTGCCATGGAACCCAAGAGAGAAATCGCCGCTGGAACTGGTCTTCCCAGGTTCCATGTCAGTGAGTGGGAGAGACTCGACAAACACATGTGCCGAGCACAAACTGTTTATGTGAGGCCACACTGGTGTTTGATGGAAGCATCACCGCCTGGGCCAAACACCCTTTATGAAATGATCCGAAAAGGAAAGTCAAGAAAACGACCGATTCAGGCGCTTCCATGTCCCATTTGCCCGTGGATATTGTTGGCCCAGGTGCCAAATGATTCAATTTTTATGATCGCCTTGACGCAGGTACCTCCTGACAGGATGATCTTCGAGAAACAGTGACCCGTTAGAGAAGTTGAACAGTCTTGTGCTTCGAGAATGTAAGCAAGCAAGTATAAACATGTTGCAGCTTTGAGCGGAATTGCGATTAATATTTGCCTGGAGTCAGCGGGAGTGTATCAGCCTCTCACGATGAAGAAAGCGTCGACTTGGCAAATGAATCGGGCCCAAAGAGACGAAGAGGAAGTTTGGCTTCGGGCTTATGGTGCAGGCAGCGCGTAGTTGATGCATTGAATTTGCAAGCAAGGGCGCCAGCTATCTTTCAGTCCAGTTGATTATCCAGACAAGCGCAGCTAATATTTTGACATCGACCTGTCAGATGGATTCACATCGCATCTGCACTTCCACAGGCAGCTCCAAGACGGGGTTCTTTTGATTCTTTCTGAGCGCAGCAACATATTCCAGCAAACAGACACAGAGTGCTTGATCGGTCCCACCAGCGCCAATTGTATCTTCGCAGTGTAGGGGTGGTTGAGTTGTACAAAGGGCGCTGGTCGGACCGATCAAGCACTCTGTGTCTGTGTGCTGGAATATGTTGCTGCGCTCAGAAAGAAACAAAAGGAACACTTGTCACAACCCCGTTTTGGAGCTGCCTGTGGAAGTGCGGATGCGATGTGAATCCATTTGACACTGTCAGGTTGGCGTTCCTGTTCATCGCGAACCTTGGTCAAACCAGCATGGGCTTGTCTCAAAATTGGGGGCTTCCTTCTTAAACCCGAGAATAGTACCAACACGAGGCACACCCACATGGAGACATGCAACGGAACCCTTTTGGCAGACAGTTTTCCTCGGCCCGGCCGTGCCCCCGTCCTTTTCCGGTTTTCCTCGGCCCGGCCGTGCCCCCGTCCTTTTCCGGTCCGCGCTAAATTGGCGAGGGCAGAATTAAGGTATCAGAATGTCCCAGGATTCCATTTCCATATATGTGAAACTCATGCCTTTTTGTAGATTCCATTCGGAAGACCCCAGCAATGCTATCCTCCAAAAAACGTGGCAATCAAGAGAATGTGTATCCTTCAAAACGACAATTGCCCAGAAGGACGACTTGTACCCATGGAGAGTTGTCAAAAGTCGATCTCTAGGGTGATTGTGTGCGGCCTTGAAAGGATCGAAGCCTCCCATTTCTTTGGTGCATTTCGCCAAGGGATGTTAGGACTTGAGAACTTTTTGCCAACTATTGAATGGCTTTTCCGTATTAAACCACTAAAAGTTAGGTTAAACTTTTAGCAGGGCTTCGCAGATTTCGAAAGCAACCGAGATTTGAAACACCCGTACTTTAGGTACAGCCCCTTTTCTAGCGCGATTTTGTGCCGAACGCCTTGAAAGGATGGAAGCCTCCCATTGGAATGAGTTTAGTTGATATTGAAAGGGAAGCCGAGAGGAAGCCAACCACTTCACGGAACCTATTTTGAGAGGCACCCATTTGCATGGCCGAGATTTGAATGACTTCTTTTCAGGTACAAGAATGAGAAGTTCGAGTCCTTTATGGAGGTGCTCCGTACTTTTCTGCTGGAAGCTGGCTTGGTGAAGCAGCTCGGCAGAAGTCAATGGCCTGAGAAACCACTGGATGGGTATAAATATATATATATATATATATGCAACCCCCCCCCCCCATGGACCCTGGTTTTGCTGCCTTTTGGGGATGGCAAATCTAGAATTTCCAAATTTATATTCTCGAAATGTCCAATTGTGGGTCCCCAAAGCGTGATAATTTGGAGCCCGGAGTCCTCCACAATGTCCCAGTATGATACCCTTTGCAAATAAGATGTTACTTCAACTAGAATTGGAATATTGAATATAGTTTAGTATGGATATAGTTTTCACAAATGTGTTTATGTTCAATTACAGCTTAAACAAGCAAATCCTTTCCAAATAGCAGCTACATGAAAATGTAAATATATGTTCGGCTAAACTCCAACTAATCTATAACACAAGAAGTTAGATGGAAGTGTTTTCCCAAATATAATCCAAGTGGTAAATATAATCTAAGACGAACACAACTCAATTTGCGTTTGATAATATCAAGTGAATAGAGACTACATCTCAAATATAATTCATATTAAATATGGCTAAACATTTGGAAATTCAAAATAGGATTTGTGTTATTTACATTCTGGCCCTTTTGTAGCATAATAAAGGTCCCACATTGAACTTGTTAGACGGTGTTCCAACTGGAAATTTCAAGGGAAGAGAGGTTCAAAATCTAAAACTATCTCGAAACAGGGATTCTAGCTAAACCGTTGTATTTAAAGTTATATTTGCACAGGAAAGTTAATTCTACCTCAAAAGGTGGAGGTAGTAGATGAGCAAATGTGGACAGGTAGTTGAAGAGGGTGGGGGACGGTGTGTGAACGTACATACATATGTCTATCTATATATACACATACATACACACATATATATAGTACCCCCAATGATCCTGCGCCTCCTCATAAAATACTGGAAAATACAGTATTTTTGAGCGTTGCACCTGCCTTTGTTTAGCTCCTGGAAAGGGGTCAACACGAGCATAGCTGACATGAAGCTCACCAAAAGCACTTGAAAGTTTGTCTAACCAATAACTTGAAAGTGTGTCCACTGGATCGCTAAGCACTTGAAAATTTGCTACTATCGGATGGAAGATTCAACATTGAAGATTACACAGAACACTTTCCTGAGAATTGTCAATCCTGGCCAAACCCAAATAGCATTCTAACACTTGAAAGTGCTTTACCACTGGATTGGGGATTCAATATTGAGGAGCCCACAAACCACCACTTTCCTGAGAATCATCCATCCTGGTCAACCCCTATTCAAGTTGTTCTATCACCTCGAACATCCGTTACCACTGGATTGAACTATTTCACGGAAACCTTTTCCGAGAATCTTATTGAACACCGAGAGTATTGGGACAACCCTGGAATTTTTAAAACTTTTTGATTCAAGATTCAAGATTCCCAGAAAATATTTTCTTAGATTCTTGAATCTTGAATCTTGAATCCATAATTTTTAAAGAAAAACTTATAAAAATTATGGGATTCAAGATTCAAGATTCCCAGAAAATATGTTCTCACATTCTTGAGTCTTGAATCTTGAATCCCATAAGTTTTAATAATTTTTAAACATGTCTGAGTTGTTCTTGTATTCTTGGATGCATTCAAACTCTTTCAGATTGCAGGTGCTGATGTCATTGCTTTTTATCACATCTGTATGCATGCATGCGTATCATATACATGTATGACCCTACCCCCAATTTTGACACAAATCCAAGAAGCAAAAAGAAGCATACAACACTGGAAAATACAGGTCAACCGCAACAAACCAGGGTCCATGGGGGGGGGGTACCATACATGTATATATATATATATATTATGCACAAACAAAAGAAAAACACAGAAGACACCCTTAAATATAAACAAAATGAATGGCTACCTAATGTTGTGGTAACTACGGGTAACTAGGATCCACTGAACCTGGCAAAGGACATGTTCAGCTGTTCGCCGGTCGACACCTCTGAGAGGAGATGTGTCCAGTTGCGTAAAAGTAGATGGCCTTCTTTCCAAACCACTTTGGTTTGGTCATCTCCTGTGCCCACCTGGGAATCGTTCCATGCACCTTTCCCCCGGAAGCCGAGGTTTTCTTAGGTCCCCCAGTAGTGCCCTTTTACCGTTTCTTTTTTGGGGGGAGATTCGGTTCCCCTACTAAAATAGACTACAGAAAAAAGTGGGTACCCTGCTTCTAACCTCTCTGGAGGACCTAGCTTCCATCCCCGCAACTATTCTTGACCACCTCCGGGAGCCAAGGCCACCAATGCTGGCGTGCCTGGCCGTGGCGGGGGTGGCCAGGCACCTAGGCACCTAGGCACCTGAAAGGTGCCGAAGGCCTTCGCAAGAAAATGGGACAGGAATACGTCCATTGGCAAAAGAATATGTGTTTACTTGGTGGCTCCCATGCATCCCTTGGCTTGTTAGCCTTTGAGGGTTTAGTGGTAGTTTCCTGCAACCCACTAAAAGTTAAACTGTTAGCAGGGGATCAGCCCAGTCGGTTTTCCCTTTTGGGTGTTAAAGGGAATCTACCCCTACGGGACATATGTTCTCATGTTTTCCGGGGGGCTGAAGCAAATGGAAGAATACCTTCGGGGGTCGTTTTACAGGAACACCAGGGGGGAAATCTAATTTTTGGAGGTTCCGGCTATGGCCATGTTGAGGAGACCCGCCCGAAGGGGAAGGTCAATTGCTTGGGTGGGTTGATTCCATGGGCAAGCAGCCCAGCAGGGGACTTAGAGCCATGTCTTTGTTGGAATAGTTGCCAGTTACTAACGACTTGCCTGACCTGCGCCAACTGAATGGGATCTTGCGGGTCTTGCTGAGGTTGTGGAGAACACGGCCAGGTTCGTGAATCTAGGTCTTCCGCTTAGCTGCTGTCTGGGAGTCTTTGACACCCTGTACACCTAGGGTCATGTGGCCAATGTGGGTGTGTGTGTGTGCTAAGGGTGATAGAGACTCCAGCTGGTGCAGAGCCATCATTGTTGTCCCTCGCAGCGGTTGGTTGAAGCAGTAGTGATGCATGCTGCGATGCGTTTGTGTTTGTTGAGATGTACTGCCTGGCCATGCTGTTTGACATTGGCAAACTCGTGAATCGGTCATGCCAGACATTGAGATTGAGGTTGGGAAATCAGCGGGCGCAAGATCGAAGAGGCTGGCCATCGGAATCTCGTTGAAAAGTGTGGGATTGCCTTACAAAAGGGGTACAACCCAATCCAACCAATCAAGAGGCACTTCTCCATGTCAGGCCCTTTTCAACATGTGCTGTGATTCTCCACTGGGGCTGCAACAGCCCCAACCGGCGTTTCACCTGCGATTCACTGTTGCCCTTGAAGTTAGCTCCTATGCAAAGGTTTGCTTGCAAGCAGGTTGCATTGGATTCCTTCAATAAATGAGGTTGTTGTTAAACCAAGGGGATGATTCTGTAATGAAAGCATGACACTATTTGTTTCGAAGGGTCTCTGGTTTTCATAGCCATTGCAAGTCGACCAATGAAAATCTCATCGTGGGAATCATTGGTTTACGCCCGCCTTTTAGGTGTCTTTAGGGCGTATTCACCACGAGTCGAGCACATTCACATGTTGTCAATAGCCCCTCCGCACATGTCGTTCACCTGCGGCAAGAAATCAAGCCCCAACGCTTGCCTGAGAGTTCTGGAGGCTGAGCAACTGACGGTACCGGTAGACTGGTGTCACTTTGTCAGGCATGCAAGCACATCAAGAGCCCGAGGGCCGAAAGAAAAGGAGTCACTGTCCCCCCCATGTTCCAATTATGTTTGATTATTTGCTGCTCCTTCATTAAATATGTGAAGGTGCAGAACTTGTTTTTCTGGAAATGAGCTGAAGACCGCGGAAGCTTCGCAGAAGGGTTTTTTGTCCGCGGAAGCTCCCGGAAGGGTTTATGGCATATGTGTGTTTGTGCTCGCACTGTTTTGACAGGCGAAGGACAATGGTGCCAACGATCAAGCAGCGTTTCTTGAGTGAAGAAATCTGAGAAGCCAAAACAGAATCCCAAACGTCCTTGGAGGCGCTGAGGAAGCTTTCCGGAAGGGGCGCGGAAGGGAGCCTGCCCTCCAACTCATTGTTTGCAAGCGGCAGCTCCTCAGAGTGACTTTTGATGCGGAGCAAGAAACGCATCGCAGCCCACTGCTTGGCATAGAGAATGCTCAGCGAACAAGATGGACCATGCAGCAAATTGCCCCTACATGCTGCAAACGTTTGTTCGCGGAAGCTCGCAGAAGCGGTTTCCAACACTACGCTTCGCGGAAGCTACCCGCGCAGGCCGCGGAAGGGTTGGTGGAAGGTTGACTAATTTCATATTAGAACCTGAAAGGGGCAAACCGCAAACCAGCCAGGCGACCAACTTCCCAGTAGAAACCAGGGGCCCTCTCAACTTTCCCGTCCTTTTGTGGAGGACCCTTCACCCACTGACCTTCCGACCTTTGAATTGTAATGGGGAACACCCTCGAAAACGGTTGGACATGAAGCCCGATGTAGAATGGCGTCCACCAAAGAGTATGTTTTTCACTTCAACAATCATACGGTACATACGTATACCCATCGTCCTCTGGCGTAGCAGGCACTGTTCATGGCCCACCGGTGAAATGTGTTTTTGTTGTTGTTGCGCACGCGCCACTTGAAGGTACTCAAGATTGAGCGCGTGGAGCTCATCAATGTGACGCTGCCATGATTTTGAAGAGAGCACGATCCACAGAAGGGATGCCTGATGAGTAGAAAGGCCAGATAGCTTACTTGAACGAGCAGGGTACTTAGCAGATGGGTAATAGCCTTGCTTAGAGGTTCCTTGTTTCCTTTCCCTTTCAGACAGTGTCTCCCAAGCCCATGCCAGGATTTTGTGGCGCAAGGCTATGGTATCTTGACGCTGAACCCTACCAAGGTGCCATCCCCAGAGAGATTTGGCGCGAAGAAACACAGACCGAAGCCTCAGGCAGTGTTGAGCTTGAAACAAGGATTACAGGCTCAGGTTGGGAAGGTTTGATTCCTCTCTTTGTTACAAAGAATCAGTCGGAGCGCCTTACAAGGAGCTGTACTGGGTTTGGTGCCCTCTGGGTTGGGTTAGACTCTCTGTGTGAAAGAAAAGAAGGGAACAACTCGAGAAGCCTTGGCAGATTCGGGATTTTCTTTTTATCTACGGGAGTAGTGTTAAAAGTCCCCAAGCACCCTTAACTCCTCCTCCACGTGTACCCTAATTAAACACAACGCCGCCTACCTTACACCAACCCCGAAACCACCTTAGACCTACCCTGAGCCTACCCTAAGCCCACGCTAAACCAACCCCGAAACCCACCCTTTACGGAGGAACCTCCATAGGTGGAGAATGCATGTTGGGGTTCCATGTTCCTGGGGGCAGTATCTTGGCGGTTTCTGGGGGTTGTCAAAGTCAGAAAATGGAAGCCAGTGTTCACTAGTACCAACTCAGCTTACAGCTTTCTTGTTTAAAGATCTTTCAATGATTTTGGCTCAGTTCAACCAGCTCCTTTTGTTTTGTTCCCCTTGAAATGGCCAGGGTCTGGTTCAGAAACCGATTCTGCCGCCCCGGTGCCAAGGACTGCCAGGCTCTCCAAGCGGCTCCAATTAAGGCGCTGGGACAAAGGGATTCGGCCGGAAAGTGATTTGGCCAGTCGCGACTTTCGGCAAATGAGGAAGATCATGGGCATAGATTGCTATTTTTGAGGCAGTCGGAAAGACCCATGTGTGTGCTGTTTTCACCAAGCAAGAACCAATCCCTTGAGTTTGAAGAGAAGCCAACAGGACATCAACCACCTGCGCCAAGAATGCAGACCCCTATTTGGATGGTGTAAAAATGAAAGGCAAGATAAAAACAACGTACCTTTTACCATGCAAACAAGCAGAAGGCGCGCGTGCTGGACGAAAGTCAAAGGAAAGCAAAGGAAAATGAGCAAAGCAAACGGAATGCAACAGTAACAAAGGTACACCCAGTGGAAACCCAAAGGGAAACAAGCAAACTGCAAAACACAGAGAAACCATGGAAATCAACATGGAACCAAATGGAACCAAATGGGAGTGGTGCAAATTTTCAGAGCCAGGGGACCACTGGTTTTAGTCCTTGTTTCCATACGCCAAGGTGTCATATGTTTCATTTCCCCCTGTTTTAAGGGGAATCTATCACTGGATATGTTGTCAGTTTTTGTTCCATGGTATTTGGCAAACGGAGGAAATGAAGCACGGGAAATCCAGAGCACGGCCTAAACGGGCGGCCGAAACGGGCACAATCGGTCTCCGTCCAGGAAGGCGCCCCCATCGCCGTGATCGGCGCGGGGACTGGGCTAGGCCGCCATGGAAAAGCTTCGGCAGAGGTGTCCTTTTTGGTTGTCTTGGCAGAAAAATCGATGGGTTTCGATTCCTGGTTTACCTGGTGGTTGAATCATCTACCAGGGAAATCCATCTTTTTGCCCTAAAGGACACCAATGGTTGGGTGCCTCGTCGTTTCCTGAGTCGGTGCATTTGGTGTTTGTGGGTTTACAGGGAAGCCAAAAGGACAAACATTTTGGGGGGTAGCGTCAAAAAAGACCCTGTTGAACCTAAGTGAGTGCCTGAATGGCCAAGCTTCCCGGTACACAAAACTGGCTTGCCTTAAGGGGCCCTGACTCAGGGTATTGGTATGGTGTCAAAGCCCAGTTTCTTCTACCAACCTGTGGCGAAAATGGTGCACAGACCGCGTTTCCACGAGGACATCCGCAAGCGGTCTTCTGAAAGGGCTGGGGGCATTTCCACCAACCATTGGGAGAGTGCTTCCCACTAAAAGTCACGTGGTATCAATTAGAACAGGAAACCCCTGAAATGGTTTTGCCTTCGTCATCCCTTTGGACACATCCAGTAGGATAACCAGAAACAACCGTTGCCTGGGCAAAGATCATGAACTCACTTTGGTTGCCCATTTGATACGGGTTTTTACTGTTTAATTGGAGATCCTTTGGTGGTCATCAGAAACGCATGGTTGGATTTAGGGCCAGCCATTGCCTATCGCAAATATCAAGAGGGAAGGGTCCTGGCTGTGCTGGTCACTGTCCAAAGGCAAGGTAGAAAGGTTTCCGTGTGAAAACAGGACGAATGAATTCTAGCAGGCTGAAGAGGACCAACGAGGCCAGGACACTTGCCACGCCGGGCTTGCCCCATGCTTTTCGGACACCGGCCTGCAACCTCGACCTTGCACCCTCAATTTTGAGGCAATCAACAAAACGCTACCCACACATGGAATCTCATAGGAGTGTTCTTCTTTCAAAGGAAAGTTGTCTTCCAGCCCTTGACAACATGGGTTGGAAGTTCCTGACAACTTCCGCGGAGGCGAAGCCTTTCTTACTGTGGGCGCCGAGGGCGATTATGAGGACTGGCACCGTGCTTGCCAAAGCGTAGGGATCGATGCCATCCTTACTTGCAACGAAGCCGGCAACACTCGGCAAAGCTTTTCGGGGCGAAAACATACATCTCAATGCGGAGGTGCCTGGCTATGGCCATCAGCTGTTTGCCAACATCAGTAAAATCAATGGGTTCTCGACCCATTTCAAAAGATGAGGGCCTTTTGGGGTGTCTTAGTTCCTGAAGGGCAATGCAGATCGTGTTTTAGGGGACACCCCCCCAAACGAACGGTTTTCCTTTTGGTGCCCCTTCAAAACCTCCCAAGAAAGGGTACAAGCTCAAGTACAGACACACCCGCATGGTCCTAAAAGCGAGATGCCAGCCCAGCAGGGTCATGTCTTGGCGAACACACGCTAGTTCATCTACCAGTTCAACAAAAACCTGGCGACCATAGCGTCCAATGACTCATATGGCTGTGGTTGTCAAAAAAAGTGGGATCCCATTTTGGGATAGGTGAATTCACCACCCATTTTAGGCTTCCTATTTTAGGTGTTGGATTGAATCGGATGTTCACTGGGGGCTAACCGATTCGAGTTTTGACCCATGGCCATATTCGACCCCAGGTGTGGCCATCTGAGGGTGGGCATGCCGAGTATGCCCCACGCCAGGCGGGCTGCCCGGCGGTCTTTCTGATTTGGTACCCCTTTGTGGTGTTACAAGGAGAACCAACAGCAACACCACTAGTTTGGTTGTCCAATCTTAAAGACACAAAACATACCCAAGTGGTATAGCCTCCCACCTTGAGCAACATGGCGGAATATCCATTCACGTGAGCGCAAGAGGGTGTGGGTCAAAATTAAACCACCAACAGGTGTTTGTCCATTCTCCATTTACTTGCCAGGGTTCCGTTTTGGGGTTACCCGCTATTTGACAACCGCAGCTATATGGGGATTTGCCTGAGCATCAACTGTGGCAGGGGACAAGAAGTCATAGCCGTGCATGCTAAGCCTGCATGGGGCAGTGTGATCTATGGTTCTACCCCACCAAAGCCATGGGTGTAAGTCCCCTAAGAAGTGGGTCATCACCATTGCTACTAACCACTGACTAAGCTCCCTGCCCCTTCAAGTAGCAGAAGTCCTTCCACGCCTCAGGAAGGAAGCAACTCCCTGGAGACCGAATTAAGGCAGTACCTGCTCATCAAATACAGCGAGAAGGCGACGGCGAACACCAACATGCGATGGCTTGTGTGATGTTTTGCTTGCTAAACCTTCCGAAGATCTGGTTAAACGGGTTCGCTGGGAAGACCCTGTAGCCCGTTCAAGTGTTGGTGGGCTTCCTGGGCCACCTCACAGCTTGTCTCGAGCAAGATTGGCGTTGGGAGCTCTCTTTTGGCTTTCCAAACCAAACGGAGGAGTTCGATGGAAAGACGAGACACCGTTCTCACACACGAAGTTCTCAGATTCCTTTGGTCCAGCCCTCCAATAAATTGGGGTCTCGAGGCTCGCGTGAGCGTGGAACGAGTTGCCGCTGGCCGAGGCACGGAATGGAAGGACTGCTATAAAAACCCTCAAGCCACATTTGGGTCCGATTGAGCGGGACACCGCTCTCGCTGGGTTTTAAAGGGAGACCAACAGGATAACCGCTTTTTTTGCTCCGGACCTTGAACAACCCATTTGGCTATTTCAGATGGCTCCGGTTCAGGGTTCCGATCTCTGGTTCGGCATCTTTGTTTTTGTTCAGCCGACCATGCCAGGCATTGCAAATATTTACGAGTTCCTGGCTTGGAAGTATCCGGAGAAGGCCGGGCGATTGCTTGCAGCCCCACATGTTTGGTGCGCGAGAAAATCTCGAAGAAGGGCCAATGGACACATGCAAGCAGGGGCGCTGAGCGTGTTTACTCTCTTTGAAGAATGAGTTGTCTTGTTTTGTAATCGAATAGGCATCGTTTTTTTGGTTGAGAGAGACAACATGAGCAAGGAAGCGTTTGGTTTGCCAAACGGCAAGAGCGTGTGGTGATAACTTTGAACCATGTTGCCTCGGCGTTCCAAGGACCCCGCAAGCCATTGACATGTCCTTTGGCTTCCCTGTAAAATGACCCCAGCAACAGATTACGTCAGATGTATCCATTTCCGTCGCATGGGATATGGCGCGGTGACCTGCTATTTGTGTAATTCACTACCTTCAACCCAAGAAAAGGCACACAGGGGTTCATGAGGGTGTATATTCCCAATTCATGTCATGTTTCATTCAAGCAACTCCCTTCCCAAGTCTTTTCGACCCTATTGATATCAGTCATGGTCAAAACTTCAATGTGGTTGACATCTTGAGCTCGTCCCACCACGTTCCCTCTCAAATGGAACGCAGAACGCGGGATAGTCTGACTGTGCCAGTGATTTAGGGGCTGCCAAAAGCATTTGGCAGCCCATTCTGGGGCATGCAAAAGTGCCGCCTCGAACGGTTTTTTTTCCATACCACCATTGCATGTCCTCCACGGTTCCTATTTTTATCTGGTCAATCACACCTTGGGGAAGGTAGACAATCATGGTAAAAGCAAACGAAGAAGCGCATGGGACAAGCTTTTCTCGCCCGCTAGGTGAACAAGTCGGTGCATCGCAGCTTCCTGGGGCCCATCGAGGGGCCGAGGCGCCTGGCTCATGCAAAGCGCAGTACTTGCCACGGAACCCACCAGAGAAATGGTCCCTTTAAAGGAGGACACGTCTTCCAGGACCCCGAAACGTTAGGTTGCATGTTGGTGGACAGGAGGGGAACAAAGTGCTTTTGCTTTATAAACAAATCCAATTGACTTCCCAGCAAGCCGCTTGCTTGTACACTTCCTATAGTGGGACATCGGTTTTCCTTTGGCTGCAGTGGATCGATTTTCCAGGACCTTCGACCCCGCTGCCATCACCAAAGCTGCCGTGGCAGGTCGCCTGCCATTGTGCGCTCCCTTTGGCGAGTTGCAATTGGGAGTCGCTCTTGGAAAGCAAAGTGCAGCTTTGTTTCTCGGTTTTTGTTTTTAAAGATTTAGTCATGGAAACTCAAGCCAGGATTCCCCTTGAACGGCCCCAATAAGGTATACCAGCCTTGGGAGGGTCGGTTTCTGGGGGAGGACATCCCTTTGGTTTGCTGGGGTTCCCATGATCCGATTTTCGGACCAACTGAGCAACGGTAGATGTCTCTACTGCTAGTTTCACGGCATGCATACTCGGCATACATGTATGGATGGCAACCATGTCGGCTTTTGAGCCAAAAGTCAGCTCGGGGTTTGGCCGCTCAACTGCTGACTTTTTTGTTGTTGTTTCTTTTTTTTGTCCCCCCTCAAGTGCTGATTATTTATTTTTATTTTTTTCGGTGCCAGACCGTTGCGAGCTGAGCAAGCAAGCCGTGAACATCTGGGCCGGCGCGTACGGTGCAGAGGCGCGGACGCTGTAACACGCTACTCGAACCCCCCTAGGCCCACCTGGCCCTTCGTCTCCAAAACGAGGCCCTAAGGTTTTGGGTTTTTTTTCAGGGAGAAACGCGGGGTTTCACATCCTCTAATCCCTGGAATCCTCAGGTTTTAATCCTCTAAACCTTTCAGGGTTTATTTGAGAGGATTCCATCTCGAGCACCCTTGCGGATTTCATCATCGCAGGGGTAAATCAGCACATAAGCACGCTTCCGAAAAGCTCGCCGCCCGGCACGGGTTCAGAGGATCCCGTCCCGTACGGCCTTGTGAGGGCCTTAATGGTGGGACCCAACGGGAAGTGGCGGGTTTGCGGTTGGCCTGTTGCCCCCTGCCCCGTCCGGGCAAGGTCTTAGGAGAAAGGGGAAGGCGGGGCTTGGGGGTTGCGATTGCACAGAATGCGGACAAGAACCCTTCAGCGTCTGCTACCTGGCAATCTTCGCGTGTTTTGATCTTGAAGTCATGTTTGTCCGTGTCCTGTTCAGTGGCACCCCTTTCTCTTCTTGGTGGGTTCGGGACCCCTTTCATTTTTTTTTCAACACGAGGCCCACCTTTCCTGGGTGGCAGGGCTGGGTCACTCGACTGCGAGAGGCTGGCGCGGTGGCCTTGACCTACATGCCCTTTGGTGGCGGGCAGCTTAGGCCAAAAAAAAAAGAAGCATGCGCAAGGTCTCGACAGGTATCCTGAAACTGACATCCTGAGTTCCTGGACTTCTTTTTGGGAAGACCGTTTTGGTGGTACATATAAGGTTCAGACTTGTTTGGGCCAATCCACTCAGGAAGTGAGGAAAGGCATTGGAGGAAAAGCAATCCAATCATCTGGATAGGGCCTAGCGATATTTGAAGACTAGGCCCTATGGAGTGGCGCTGGGCCAAAGGGCAACGGGACGGCCACTCACCCTCTAGCTGGCAATATTCCTACTTGCCCGGGAACCGCTTGGGGCTTTCCTTGTATTCCAATTGAGCGCGTCCTGGCACAGCAAGTTTCATTCCAATGAAAAGGGATGTTTCTTGCTGGGTTGGTTTAAGGGCCTTCCAGGGTTATGGGGTTGAGTGTTTAGTTCTGCTTTTCTACGGGGGTTTGGTTGGCTAGCGGGACCTGTCCGGACTTCGAGAGGCCCGCCGGGACCATCGGGACCATCGGATCGGGCTGCGAGCCGAATGAGGCCTCTACTTGACCGGCGGCGTTACGGCAAAGATGAAGGCGCCAAAGGGCCAGCGTTACCGAGCTCCCAGTCGCTTTCTCCTTTTTGGGTGACCGCTTTAGTGGCAAAAAAGAAGCCCACAATGCCATTTTGCCATTGGCCAATTTGGGTAGAGGGATGGTTTCACTGCCTGGCTGCGTGGGGTGTCTAGTAAGGCCTGGATAAACCTTTCTAGCCCTTAGAAGTCAGACAAGCTTGAGGTGTTTTATGGGAAAGCTTTCTGACCATAGAGGCACAGGACCTACTTTTCTAGGGGGCACTTCCCCATTCTTTCCAGGGATCCTTCTTTCCAGAAAACCATCAGAACTTCAGGGGAAACAGCCGGTTTTTGAAAAGAACGATGGTTGAGCAGAATGGAAAAGGAATCAACCCTTAGAAGCATGGTGGGTCAAAATTGAACCACCAGGGGACCAGGTATTGGTTCATATGTCCACTTACTAGGGTTCCCCTGGAACTGTTGGGAGGTTGAAACCCAAGCGCAAGCCGTGCATCGTTATGGCCAGGACTGGCTTAGCGGCAAGACCACGGGCCAGAGCACCTTCCTGGAGGACGGAGCCGGTTCATTGACCCCCCCCCAAACAAAAAAAACGCAGAAAACAAACAAACAAACAAACAAACAAGCAAAAACAAAACCAACAAAAGCAAACAAACAAACAAACAAACAAGCAACCTGGATAGCGTTTCAAGGGAAGCCATCAGGAAACCGCTTGGGCCATCAATTAAATATATGATCTCCCCATCCCTACCTTAAGCCAAAACTTTGACGACTGAGGCGTCAGTAGAATGAGACAGCTTGAGATCTTCAATGTTTTTAGTGGTGTCACGAAAAGTCTGGAGGTTGGCTTCAAGCGTTGTAACATGGGTTAGGAAATTGCCCCCTATCCCATGTCTCAATTACTTTGTTATGGGCTTAGGGCGGATAGCAGGTCCAAACCAGGGGGGGCCAAGCACCAAAGAAATTCCCCGAAATGACGGACATGTGGTCGAAGAAATGAGTCCTTCATTTGAGCCACGTCCTCAAAACCCGGGTAGATGAAGGTTAGTAAGGGATATTCCCAACCCAAAATGGGTGCAGTCGCCCTGTCAATTCTTCACATCGTTCTGGGTAGACCATTTTATTCCAGGTTTTGACTACCATTTACCCCTTTAAGGGAATGCCTTACCCCTTTAAGGGAATGCCGGTGACCATAGCGAAGGGACACCAGACCACACATTTTGATGCAGATACCTGCCGGCAACTGACAGCCGGTCTGAGGCCTTTCTTGACAAGGGTCGCGTCACGCCGGTGCCCAAGCGAACATGTTGGAGGGATTCTTTGGATGGTGCGAGGTTCCGTCAACATATCCCGAAATGGGGATTGACTAAATTACCCGGAGAAAAAACAGAGAAAAAACAACGGGATATTCAGGTCAATAGGAAATTGTGACCATGCCATGGCTTTTGTGGGCGCTTCCCAAAATGGGAAATGCGGACCAGCTTTGAGATGAATGCCACTGCCATGCATCATGCGGCCGATGGCAGCTGAGGCCAATGCTCATGAGGGTGCCAGTCCTCGTGGTTGAGGGAGAGGAGACGCTCGCTCCATACTGTGGATGGATACGCGAAAACAATTTAACTCGCATCAGAAAATGAGTCATCATGGGAATGAAACCAAAACGGTTGTTGGTATTTGCCGGGGAATCGAATCAGAAACAAGGGGTTCTTAGGTGCAGGATTTGGTCCATCCACAGTAGCCTACCTCACATATTACGTAGCTTGTGGTCGATTTTTGGGGGGGAACAAATTGGGTACTTGCACGAGAGGGCTCACTGGTTTCCCGTGTCCTTTGTGGCAACCACATACGTTGAAGGTGGCTCAGACAAGGTATGTCAATCACTTCCTAACACGGAACTTCCCCAATAAACACACGGGCTAGATTCAATGACCGCTTTGCTTATTTAGTTTGGTTTGGAATCCTGAATAAGCCTATGCATTCAATTATTGGAAGTTTCCTTTTGTAGGTTCAATGTAATTCCCCTTTTGCAAGAAACACAACTCGCAAAATGCATGTTAAAATGGGTGATGTATTCCAAGACGCGAAAATCGGCTTGGGACATTCCTCTCACCCTGCAATGTGAGTAGACCAGAAAGCCAAGCCCACAGCCCAAACTCCAAACTGTCACAAGTCCCCATAAACCTGATCAGCTGAAGCGATCTTGGGCGAACGAGGATTGTGGGACAGTCCAGTAGAGTTTGTGTGAAGCCGGCAAACAAAAAGGTTCTGGGTGGTTCCGACCTTTTCCTCCCCGGGATCCGAGCAACACACTTCTTGATTGCAGCTGTCCAAGCTTTAGCTCATGTACGCATTGGAAAGCACCCCTTTTTCTGGCGATCATAGTGCTTGGCTTCCGAAGCCAAAAGCCAGTCGCAGTCTTTGGTGTTTTCCGAACCCTATATTTGACACCCAGGTTGGTTTGCTCCCCAAATCAACCCCTAAAGTGGGACCCCCGAACAGCAGACTCCTCCCCAAATGATTGGTTTCGGGGTTGTCCACTGATTTGGGGACTTGTCCTGGGTGACTGACACCTCGCAAAAGCGTGTGTGTGTGTGTGTGTGTGTGTGTGTGTGTGTGTGTGTGTGTGGGTGTGGGTGTGGGGGGGGGTGCCTGCCAGGACATGGGCGAGCGTGGGGCCATGTTGAAAGCCGTGCGCCTCTACCTGGAACAGCAGCGGCGGAGGCGAGAGCGTTGGGAGATTCGGTAGGGGCTTGGCGTAGCCTCCAACTGGGTTTCGTTTTTTCGTTGGTTTTGTTGGAGTTGGTAATTACACTTTGTTGGGCCCTTTGAGGTCTTTTGGGTGCGTCATCCTCTGTTTGTTGGGGTTGGTACACTGTTTTTCGGGCTTTCGAAAGGAAGCAGTTGAGGCAGTTGAGGCAGTTGAGGCAGCTGAGGCATGGCTCATGTTGTCCGGATCCCTGTTCCAAAGAATCCCCATGATCCCCCTTTTGGTTAGTTGTTCCGAGTGCTTTTGCCTTCGTCCGACTAGAGTTTAGACCTCCAGTGGTGCCCTTTGTCAAAGTGTTTTTTTTGGGAGGGAGGCTCCCCTTCACAAACAAGAGGACAGAGAACCACAACTCCTTTTTCCTTGTGTCAGGTAAGGTCAGGCACATCGCTTTTGCTAAGCTTTACTGACTCTGTCACAAGTTAACGGATGTCAACAACAGAGCCTCTGCGTGTGCTGCCTGTTGGCTTTGCTGGTCCCCTGCTTCCTGCGGGCAGCTCTTCCAGTTGTCAACTCTGAAATACTGCGGAGGTCCATTTGCTGAAATGGGTGTTTCTTTAAATTCAGGAGCCTTTTGGGCTGGTTTCAAAGGGAAACAGAAAGGACACCGATCTCCTGGAGGGGTACCTAATTTTGAGAAACACCCAAAGGAATATGTTTTATTATTATTATTATTATTATTATTATTATTATTATTATTATTATTATTATTATTATTATTATTAGTATTAGTATTAGTATTATTATTATTATTATTATTATTATTATTATTATTATTATTATTATTATTATTACTATTTATTATTTATTATTTATTATTTATTATTTATTATGTATTATTATTTTTCCCTGTTGGTGTTGGAGGGAATACATCACTAACGGAATGTTGTATATATGTATATAATCTTTCCAGGGAACTTTAGGACAATGGAGGCGGATTGTGGTTTTCTGAACTCGCTCTGCATCCTTGACTGAACAACTGACAGCTAAGCCTTGGGGTGCCCAAAGCGGCACTGGTCGAGGGGTCAAACTCAAACGAAGGCTTCCCTGCTGCCTTTCCCGCTAGCGCAGCCTACTATCGTCGCTCACGTTATCAGACGGCCAGCCGCCGATTCGACGATTTCCCAGTGGCAGGGCGGATCCCAACGGCAGACCCTGTCACAGTCGGTGCGGCTTTCCCTAGCGGCGTTCACGCGGTATGCAGACTCGGCACGCTTAAATCCCACCGATTCTCGCTCCAGAAACAATTAGGCAACTAAACGAGAATCCATTTAGATGCCTTCGGCTTCGTTTGGGGAAGTCTCACACTTAGTGAAGGAGGATTCGCTAAATAATTTGAGGCCACCATCGTTTGTTTGCGGTATGCTCCAGCAGGGTTTTCATAGCGTAGCCTGGATGAAAACCGAGTTGGACCTCCGATATACATAGGACTTGTACCCCGCACACAGAAAATGGACACATACATTAAATCACTCCACGTTTCCCATAAGTTCACCACTGGACACACCACATCCCATCTTGGAGCCCCCAAACAGGAATGTGGCCCTCGAATGCAAAGGAGCTGGACCATAATGATAGGTGTCCTTGTTGGTTTTTTTGGTCGAACAATAGCAGGCGATTCCAGGTTTACCTAGTGGTTTAATCATCTACCAGGGTGTCCTTTTCGGTTGTTTTGGTCGAAAAATGGATGGATGAATCATCCACCAGGGAACCCCATCTATTTCCATTCTAAGCTGCACGCCTTGCGCAGCGCCAAGCCGCCAGGCGCCCGTCGCAAGCCTCCAAGTCCCGGGCGGCGCCCGCCTTCGTGGTGAAGCCGCCCGGGGCCCCAAGATGGCAGCGCCGCGCGCGCGAGAGATGGCGCTGACTGTGCCAAAGATCCCCCTACTGTGAATGGACAATTCAAAACCATGGGAAACCATTGTTTGTTGGTATTTACAAAGGGATCGTAGATTTCAGGGTTGTTTAGGTGGTGCAGGAGTTCGTCCATGCGCAGTAGGTGTCCTTCTTTGCTTTGCTTGACTAAAAATAGATAGGTTCCACTGGTTTAGATTTTTATAGGTGTCCTTTCTTAGGTTAAACTCTTTGAACAAAGTTTGACGGTTCCGCTGGTTTAGATGGTATTTGATTTGTCAGGGTCTTCTCTTTTTCCACAAGGCCACCTATGTTCCCCCCCATTTGGAAGAATCGATAATTGCAGTACTTGGCTTTGGTGGCAACGGAAAGGAAGTATTGAGGGAGGGCACCGAGTACTTGCAATCCCCTGAAAATGGGACCCCCCCTCAACCAGGGTGTATCTTATTTTGGGTTCCTATTAAACCCACACTTTGTTGCATCAGCAACAGGTAATATTGCCAGGGTGTTGGTGTTGGGTGGGCAAATGGTTTTGTTGGTACAACATCCCCTCTCGGTTTCTGGTAATGTTCGGTATTCACCATGTGTTTCTGGAATGGAAAAGCCAGACGGGTCTATAGCACAAAGATGGAATCGTTAGATGGATTCCGCTTGGGTTCATTTGAATCTCATTGACATTTGGTGCCATCGGATTGGACAAAAAGATCTCCCACGGCGCAAACTAACTTCTGGAGGTTGATGTTCCTTTGGTGCGACCTTTCACTTCTTGAAACTGTTTTCTCACCAACTAGCAACAAACTTAGCTTGCTTAGGGGGTCCGAGACCAACCTATGAAAAGAAACGCAGCGTTACAGTCATGTTACATGTTGGGTCTGGGTATTAAGACATGCCCTTCCAATCCATCCGCTTCCCTGACCATGGTGGCTTCGCCGCTCGCCCCGCGAGAGAGGGAACCCCTTCAAGGAAAATGTTATTGTCCATTTGGGATTCCTTTAAACCAACGGTGAAACGGACCCTCAAAAAGACACCCAAATGATCGGCTTCTTTGTGGCCTCCCTTTGCAAACCAACCTGATGTTCTCCATTTCAAGTACATCAGGTTGGTTTGAGAGCCCCAGTTGTGCAGTGCCACCCTGTTCTTATTTTGTTTGGTGGTTCCCTATGACAAACGGTCAACCTCAAAGAGGGCTCCCTAGGGTTACTGAATCTCCGGGGATATTCCCCGCACGCTAGTGGGTTCTGAGCGGCACCAGTTGATTTGGTCCTGGCCCCAAGAGGTTCCGATGATGTTTTTCTGTGTGCCCGTTTCATGGTTGTTGTTGGGAAACATGTTTTTTTTTTTTTTACATTTTTGCTTGTGGTTTAGTGGTTGAAATCCAAATCCACTGAACCGCTAAAATTTTCATTTTTTGCTCCCCTTCCAAGGTCAAGTTCAAGGTTTGGGCGGAACCTTTTTGTTGGGTTGGAAGGGAAGCCAAATGGAACACCAGCCAGTTTTTTTGGGAGGAGACACGTAGCCCACAGCGTTCCAAGCGAGGTCAATCGGAGCGGTTTTCGGGTGTTTTGGCTATGCTCCCAAGCCACGCCTGTTTGTGGTGTTTGCTTTCAGGGTATCTTCAGGGTTGCTCTGAGCCAATCCATGGGTAGAAAACTGTTCTGGCTTTATTTCAAGTTTCCTTTTACCAGCCAATTGGGTCTTCGGAGCGGTTCCGGTTGCACCGGCTTTGTGTTTTTGTTTGAAGGACCTCAAGCGGCCTCTGAGGAATCTCATCTCTGCAACATCTCCAGGCTGGAAGTGGCATTTGCGTCGGTCAAAAAAATAGGCGGCCTTTTTCCCGCAGAAACTACTTCGATTTCCTAACTGGACATGCCCCAACTATGAGCCAGATACATGGAATGTGTTTGGGATTTCCCCGAATCCTTTTAAGAATGTACCTATGTGGCTCTGGGTCTTGGGGGGGTTGCCTTTGAGCCCCAATGAAGAGACCCTTCTTGGGACCCGTTGTTCACTTTGAGTTGTTGGACAGCCATAAATCTCGCACTCCCTCTAGGAGAAACAGATGAATTTGACTATGGCTCCAGGGATTCGTCCAACTACAGGTGAGCTTTGGGAGGAGGACAGTTGCGCCAAAAGACAAATTCACTTCCTTGGACGGTGGCCCTCCGCTTTGGAACCCTGACATGTGCCGCCAAAGCAGGTCGCAAAGGGCTGGATGATTTTGACAGCCTGGTGTATACTTCACTTTCGGATCCTTTCGGGTGACCGACACTAGTTACAACGTCTAGAGGTCAGCGCGTTTGACTTTCCGCAACAATCCCTCAGATGTTTGCCGAACGACTGCCGTGTTGCGATGGTTTGGTCCATGTTGTTCAACGAGCTTTGGGAGCAAAATCAGTTAGCACCGCCCGGCAAACCATCAGGCACAAGGGGGATCGGGGGGGATAGTGCATCGTTGAGCTTCACGGTTGATTTGAGCGTACACTGCGAGCTGAAAACGCATGAAGACATGACTTCTCAACATGTTATGATGGTCTCACTTCCACGAATCAGTGACCAGCGCAGCAGGATCGGCCTTGCATTGCCAGGCCTGTTTCTCTAGTGTAGATGTTGTGTTTGCACTGCAGGGCGCCTTGCACCGCGGCATTTGCACTGAGTTGTTGTTGGGTTTTTTGGCGGAGGGGCTGAAAGCTGTGTTAGTGTGGATTGTTGAGAAATCCTCTTTGGCACCACCTAAGAAACCCTTTTTTCTTCTGATGATTCCCCTGTAAATACCAACAAACAAAGGTTTGCCCTGGTTTCAAAGTGGTGCAGGATTTCGTCCATCCACAGTATGTCATTGCAGATCTTCAGGTGTCTTTCTTTGACTGTTTGTTAGGGTTAGATTGATTTCGCTTGCTAAACATCGTGAGACCAAGACTGGGGACACCAATGGACTGCTACGCCGGACGGCACAACATAAGTTGCTTCTATCAAATGAGCCTGAACGGGTTGTGGGTTCAGCGTGCGATGGCATGAAGATTGTGAGCATATACACTGGCCATCAAAGCCACGTTTGGTTTCCAATGGTTGCAACAGCGGGGCATGCCGTTAAGAACAACATGTCTTTGTTTGCGGCTCTATGCTGCGCTGGTCAAAGGGGTTGGGAACTCCCGGGTCGAGCAATGTGGCGTCTCGGCGTCTGGCCAGGTGGAGGTCCCGATGTGGCCACGTTGAGTGAAGTGCCAGAAGAGTTTCGGTCTCAGTGCGGGTTGGTGGTTGGTTTTTATGCGAGCCAGCTTTTCGGCGCATAAGAAAAGCTCGCAGATTGATACTGGAGAAAATCCTGGCTAGGCACCACCAGTGGATGAAACCGCAAGCTTGGATAGTTGATAGGGTAAGACATTGTGAGAGACATTAGGCACGCGGAGTGGGAACCACTGATACAAAACAAACAGAGACAGCTGACAAGCCGAAATGCCAGCGCATACAGCTAGGGACCCCAAAAGGTGTCTGAGAAGGAGTTTGTGTGGGCCATCTTTGGCCAGGCTGCCAGGCATGGGCCAAAAGTCGCAAAGTCGCGTCGTCGGCACATTCTGGCTCGCCGGCGAGCCATTTTCGTGGAATCCCCGGGTTTCAGGACAGCGCAAAAGACAGGACGGCAACGGCCAACTTTGCGATTTGATGGCGACCTCACCAGAGTTTGCGACCTACACCCGTGAAGAATTCCATACGTGTTGTCTGATTTTTAGGTTGGTGAACTGCAAGTCAGACGGGGATTTTGTTGTGGTGTACCCTGGGGTTGGTGTATGTGAGTGAACTCGTATTGTGGCAAAGCCCGGGCGCTCTCTGCATCGGAACGCTCAGGTGAGCTCGATTCTGCTGGACTCGCGACTCGCGAGCATCACCTGCTCTACATGGATTTCCGTGCAGAGTCGGTACACAAGGCCAAGCTTCATTTCTGGCCCAGTTTGGTTCAACTACAGGTGGCACTGCTTTGAGTTTGGTTCAAACTGCTGTATCATCTATTGTTCGAAAAGGCCACCTAGTTGTAGGCCGTTTGCCACTTCCGTGAGCACTTGTCATCTCGACTGCTCAAGATCGGCGACTTAGTCTGTGCCTTTTTCTTGCGTGACTCGGCACGCAAATCGTGAGTCACCGAAGCTCTTGCCAGCCATAATTGGTCTTGGCCGAGCATTAAATTATATAGCACCCCCTAGCTTGCTTGGTGCACAAGGTTGTTTGACGACACCTTCTCTGGCACCAGGCAGTCACCACTCATCCCATAGGTGATGTGTGGATCGGCGCTGTCGCAACATGTGTCACTAGAAGTGAAAATTACGGGCAGTTGCATCGCACCGCTCAGTTGAGCATTGCCCATGTTGGTAGTTGGTTCTGCCAGCCCGGCTTCATGGGGTTATGTTGAGGCCTACGTAAACCTTTATGGTAGGACGAACCGTGGCTGGGCTTGGCGTGCTCAGTTGAACATGGCGATGTATTTTGGAGCCGTATCATGGACAGGCTCCCCCGCCTGTGTGGGTGATTGTTTGTTGGAGTCCCATACGAGCTTCACGAGGTCTCCCATTTCAGGACACCTATGGAGAGTGTCGCAAGCCCATACGTTCCCTTTTTCGACACCAAGAGACTCGCAAAATATTGGGAGCTGATACTCAAAACCACCTTTAAATGTGAAGGGAACAAACGCGCATGGGCGTTTGCTTCAATGGCCAGCCTTGTAAGGGGTTGACCTAGCGAACAATCTGTGAACGATGGCCTTTGACAGCTGGCCCAAGCAGGTTAGAACGACGTAGTCCTTTTAGATGCGTTCCATTGTAAACACAAAAATGTGGGGGCCTTGTTGTCTTGAGCACGAACCAAGAAGTGTGCTGCTTCATGTCAAGCACTAACCAAAGCATGTAATGTTGAAAAAAGAAGCCAGCAGGTGTCCTTTCTATATAGGTTAGATTGTTTCGAAGTACCAACCAACAAGGTGTCCACTTTGTTGCAGCACTGGGCCCGTTTGCCACCTGCGTCAGCCGTGCGCCTGCACGGCCCTCACGGGATGCTTGTTAGATGAAGGCGTGATTACCGTGACGCCATGGAGCAAGAGGATCAAGTTGCGACTCTTGGCTGGAAAGCGGGGCTCTTCAAAACGAGCCCTGCGCCCACCTGCTTCGGACAGCAAGGCATGGGCATTTGGTCCATCAGTTGGCCATGGGTCAAAACCAATGGGATCCGATTTTGGGGTAGGTGTACCACCCATTTTAGTCTATTTTAGTGGGGATTGGGATGTTCACTGGGGGTACGGGGTTTTGACCCATGGCCATTTGGGACCCTGTGCTTGTGAGCAGTCAAAGCTCGGTTCGCGACTGGACGGCCTCAGTGATTTTGCCGCTTTCAGCACGAGTAACTTCCACATATATTGACCATCGCTCATGGGAGCCCGGCACTTTGCCAATGTGGATTCCGGTCAAACAACCCTGGTGTAAAACATGTGAAAAAGGTGTCCTTCTTCATGTTCAGATGACTTTGTCGTATCCGGCATGAGGCGGGCCCATCCTAAAATAAGCAAATATGCGTGGCAGCGCTAGCATCGCGCGAGCTTCGTGCCAGCATCGTGAGATATACATATGATACACATGAGATCCGGCCAAAACACCCTCGTAGGGGAATATATTCTAGAAACGCTAACGTCGCAATTCATTTGTATGAGGCAAAGTTCTCTACATGCCTGAATTTTGCTTCCGCGTAGCACCGTTCGGGGCTGGGAAAACAAATCAAATTCCTGTAGTTTCTACATGAGCAGAGCTAGTCATCAAAGCCTAGCGTCATTTTGGGACGGAATGGATATTGCTTGAGACTATCGTGCATATGGCCAGGTGTGCTTTCACTTTCCTCATGTTTTCCATTTGGGTTTGCAGTGGAAGCAAATTGCTTTCCCCGGACGCAGTTTGCACCCCCCCAAGCACCCCTCTTAAGGAAGGGGGTGAGAAATTTTATAAGCCTAGGGCAAAAACCGCTAATCAACAAACACAAAAGGCCAGGCTTTTGGGGTAAGGGGCCTAAGGGGCAAAAGAGGGTCTCTGAAGTCGCGGCTTGGATTCCCCAAAGAAGACGTAGCAACAGTCAATATGTATGTTCATGGAATTTTATGGAAGAAAGGGTCCTCCCCAAGTAAGGACCCAATTTTCTAATCTTGATTCAGGTCTTGAAATTATCCAGATTGTCGACAACTTTGACCGGGCGATCCGTTGTGTTTATTCCCCAACAGCTGAAAGCTGTGAAGCTATGGGGTCTCTGCCCAGATAAACTCTGGGGTGGTTTGGGGCAGCTTTCAGGGAGGGTTCCACGATCCAAGGGACTCTGGGGCTATTGATGCCTGGGCTTATTTGCTTAGGCCTCAGATCAAGTTGGAGGTGCCTCGACTGGACCTCCCGCCGAACTTGCTGGACTTCTTTAAGGGCGAGCAGTGCCGCGGAGAAATCCAGTGCACACGTCGCCCAACAGAACTCCCAATAGCCATCCCCATGCTTTTCGGAATTCCCGGAAATACGGCCTTTGGAGGAAACTTGGGGGATGGGTTGGATCCTATGACCTTTGGAGCCCTGAAAGTTATGCGGGTCCACAGGTTGATTGGCGCACTCTTTTCCGAACCCTCCAAAAGGAGTTGGATGTTGCCATGTTGTCTTCTCGGGGGAATGTGTCTTGGTATGAAGTGCGCAGAATGAAACAGGCCAGACCCTGTGAGTGCCCATTTGCTGCTCGAAGCACAGCCAAGGAAGCCGCCCACCAAGCCTGCCGCCGCTGGGCTGAAGATGCGGGTGCCTTTTATGCGGACTACTGAGGTCCATGCAAAACCCAATAGATATCTCACTTGACTTGCCCAAAGCGAATCGACTTGTTGACCTGGTGTTTTCCCCCTTGTGGCAACCATGTTTTTCTTGGTTTTTTAATGGCTCCAAAAGGTAATCACCTTTTATTTCTGGGCCCTTTGGCAACTGAGTTTGTGGTTGCAATGGTCCCACCAGAAGCCGAAGGGGACCAAGTTTCATGGTCTTGGTCCATCCTTGATGTGTTTGGTGTCCCACGTGTTTGTTCCTCCTGGGGGTTGGAATGGATTTTAGTTGTCCTTTCTGGTTTCAGTTTGCTTTATTATTGACCGGTGGAATTCACCTAGTTGGTCCCACCACAATAGTGCGTGTGTGGGTGTGTGGGTGTGTGTGTGTGGGTGCTTTCCCACGGGTACCCTTTTTCGTGGTGTGTGGTTTCAACCAAAACCGAATCCGGGACTACAGTTTGAGAAACATCTATGTATCTGTGGGCAAAAGTCACTGGGTGCTGAATAGCCAGGAATTTCTGAATTACCCATGCAGGACACCAAACGGGGATGTTTCTATAGACCCCAAACCGGGGTTGCCCACCCCCCTTCCCGCTCATTTAGCTTATGTTGAACAGTGCGAGCGCTGTACAAGAGATCGGTTGGTCCAGGCCCGGGGCTGAAATCCTTAGCGTCCATTTCGTCTTTAAACGGGCTGGTCTTTTTAGGGCTCCTGAAAATATACATGTTGCAACCATTTGAAACATGTTGCTTTTTCAACACCAAAACAAAGGGAGCCCACCATTTACAAGGCAATGTTCGATCGGTGTATAATGCATCCGGATCCCGGTTTTTACCCGTGAGGGATGGAGTTCTTGGCGCCAATTTCTGAAACTCGTGTCTTGTCTTGCGCTGTAGTCTTGCGGGTGAAGGACTCCTTTGCTAAGAAATTCAGGGTATGAATCCTGATACAACGACTTATTCTACAGTGATTGTCTTGCATGTTTTATATATATAGCATGATATATATATATATATATGTTTGTTTATTTGATTATTTTTTGTATCCCGACCCCCCAAACAAAACCGTCCCTTTTGTTGGAAGAGGAGGTGGCCCATTAATGTCCAGTTCGGACGCTCGCCTCTTAAGTGAAAGTCGGTGAGGACTTGCTCATACCCTTGACTGGCCTCAGCGAGGAGCTGGGAGCTGTTGGTGAAAAGACTGGGTCAGGTCGAGGGTTTCCTCCATTTCCCTTTTTGGAACCTTCAAAAGTGGCTGTTTCTTAATTGAAACCGCTAGTAAATCGCAACCTTTGAAGGGGGAAATCCAGTGACCCTGTCCAGTGGGATTGAATCCTTTTCGATATCGTGGAGTCGATGGGGCCCAGGCTTTCGAGAAGTTTAGCGAAGAACGCACGATTCTAGAGGTTGGTTCCATGTCCGTTCTGTTCAAACACCAGTGAATTCTTTGGATTTGTTGGTGGTTTGGAGATATTCGAATCTCTGCATTCAGAAAATGGAATTGCGCTAAAGAATTGGTATCTCATCACTCCGTTTCATGAGGGCGCTTTACATGTCTTAGGAATTCCTGTCACCATCCCTCAAGCAGTTTTAGCCAAAGCGCCAGTCGTCGTTGCTCTTTCGTTTGACCCTCAACCGTTTCACTTAATGGAAATGCTGTTTCGCGCAGACCCTACAAGTTGAACTTTTTGCGGTGGGTGGGGGGGAGTCAAAGACCAACCCATAGTTTATGCCAGATAGCCTATGATTCTATTGGGTAACATCATCCAAACTTGTTGATGGACATCAATCTCCATGTCCACCCAAAGGTGCATGTTCATTTCAACTTTATTCTCGTGTGTGTGTGTGTGTTTTGTCCCCGCCCCCAATAGAATAGAATTGGGTGAATTCTGGAGACCTCCGTTTTATATAAAGTTCCCTTTCGTGGGGGAGATTAGAAGAAAGGTTCTGTGGACGGACAACATTCACTCACCAGTTGGTACCAGTTGGTAGGTTGTTTGTCAAGCAGCATTCACATAGTGCTTCATCCGTTCCAACTGGTGCGAAGCGGATTCTGTCCATCCGCCGGCACTTCAGTCTTGGGGCTTGCTGACCTTTGCTCTACCTACTCCGAGGGTTGTGGTGAAACCTCTGACAAGGGGTTTGTCGAGGTCGGGGATTTCCAGTAGG